ACCTGGACAATTTATTTATTGTGATATAGATAGTTGGGTTTTCGCATGAAAAATGTTGGAGTTTATATGGACCGCGAATGACACTTTCCTGTCGGACCTCATTTAGTCACCGGAAGATTAAATTTCGAGCGATCCGAGAGCATGCCCGGTTAGTTACAACACTGTCACGAGCGTGTTGCTCACGGCTTAAAAGAGCCGGCATTGTGTACACGCCGGGGCCGGATGTTCGCGGATCATTTGACCGGAAACTGAATGTTCGCGCATCGGCGTAATCGAGAGAGTTCGCCGCATGCTAATCGCGCTGCAATCGTCCGCATCCTATGTGTGCGAAAAGTTCTCGCCGTTCTCCAACAACGAAACATTGGAAGCGTTTGCGCTAGAAACCTAACAAATGTCAGAGATGATACAGACATTTTTAGATAAAAAAAGAATTATAAAAAAAGACAATGGCTTTGATAATAACATGATTGATAACATTTTTTTAAAAACAATTTAGAAATATTTTTTTTGTTTTTTTTTTAGCATTCTTCCCAAAGAGAACACCAGGTCGAAGAAACGTCTAATAGACGTCTATAGACGTTTCTTCGACCTGGTGTTCTCGCTGGGTTTAAAGTAAAAAAAAAATTCGTCTCTGAAATTTTGTCCTCTGAAAAATAATGTATTATTATAAAAACATGTATGTTGAAAATGAAGAATGTAAATTGTTCCAAACATTTTTGATTGCACATTTATTCGTTCGTTTGTACTGCAATTTTTTTATTTTGTTCATCTCTGCGAAAGAGAAAACTAAATCTTGCAACGAGTTGACAGAATGTTATCTTTAAAAACGGCGTCAAAATAAGATTGATTTACAAATAAAGACCTGTTGGCATCAACGCGCATGTCTGCCAAGTTCGACGTTCCGACGCGTCGTTTCGCGAGCGCGTGCACGAAATACGCGACGTGCGCCGTGCCGCACCGCGCCACACCGCGCCGTGCAAGAAGCGGTCATTCATGAATTGACTCGTCCCGCTCTCTCGCCGTTTATTTATACCAGCCAACACACACAAGTCGCCGCCGCCGCCGCCGCCACGCCACGCGGCCACTGCAACGGTGCAGCACGACGCGACGAGATGAGACGCGAGGCAGAGCACTACGCGTTGCACGATATTTTCCCCATTAATTCCGAAAGAGCGCGTCCGCGGTGTGACGATAACGGTCGATACTGTATCGGGGACTGTCCGTGCGCGGGTGGCTGCAAGGTCGCCGGATGTAGCGCGCGCATGTATACCGGAAGCGGAGTCTGTATGCAAGGTATGGGCTCTACGTCAGCTTGATCTGTTGAATGATCCGCGAAAGTGTAAAACTATCGTTTCGAAAAAGAGAGAACGAAACTGGAATGCAGCAACTGAATACTTTTCAAATCGCCCAAGGGTAAACTACCCTTATTCTGTATCTAAAGCGATAAAAAATTAACTCTCGATTACAATGAGGATAATGACGATTCACACGATCGTCTTCTTACTTATTTTGGGATATCCGCGACAAATAGTGCAATAAGACATTCCTTTACATTATCAAGATATTAATTAACAAATCTGTTCATAGTCGAAATAATAATAACAATAACTAGTAAGCGAATAATTAAAACAACTAAAAAAATAAGTGGTCGTCTTTTGTGAAATAATCTAATCGCACATTTCCTGTAGGATAAACTTTCTTCAAAATCATGAAATTTAAGAAACGGAAACACCAAGTGATTAATATATGTAGCGATTAAATAAATGTAATCTAATCGCTAGAAAGCATTTTAGAAAATTATGTCCAACTAATCTACAATTTTTCTATTATTTTTTATTGTCTTTCCTTTTCTTCTCTGCCTTATTGTCATTTTATAAAATGTTCCACGATATTAACACTAAACAATTCTAAAGCGATAAAATATTAACTCTCGGTTACAATGAAGATAAACCGATTCGTACGATCGTTTTCTTATTTATCTTGGAATATCCGCGAACAAATAGTGCAATAAGAAATGAAAAGTCGAAAGATGACGATGGTTTAGGAGTTGAAGCGATAGCAGTTGGAGCCGGACACGATTTATATGGCTGAATGTGTCATCGTCGTCGGTTCTCGAAGCGTACGCGGGAACGGAATCGTTACACCGGAAGTTGTTTTATGCTAATGCAGCGGTATCTATTTGTCGGGCTCACGCCCGTATGCACGCGCGGCTCGAGAGTGCGTTTACCGTTTCAGCGTGACACGACACATGCACTTTTGTATGTACATGTGTGTGTGCGTGTGTGTGTCACAAGCACGACAATTCGCTGCCGACGCGAGTCCAACCGGATAGAGCATTCTTCGTTTATTACCGCCGAATGCATTAAATCGCGACGTCGCGGGTCAAGCACACGCGATTGACGTCAGAGTGTGCGCGGCGAGGCAACGCTTCTCCTTGGCTTTTCGAAAGTATCATTGACGCTCGTGATACTTAAACAGCTCTTTACGTATTACTGTTTTTACAAAGTCTCCTATTTCTATCTTGACGCAAATATCGAAATTACGACGAATTCTCGAGCCACGAGCAACGAAAGTGAAACAGCGTTGAGTTTCGTTGAATTTCAAATCAACTTGGATGGTGTTTTAATTCTGGCCACGTTTGTTACAAATATGGATAATATTAGAAAGGCGCAATAAATAATCGTTTGTTTTCGATTGCAAATTTGTCAAATGAACTGGTTTCATTACAGTACAAGTGAAACACTTGCAAAATCTAATTAAAATTGTACGCTATGTAATGATCTAGACAACAAATGGACCATTGATTTTGCTTGCTCCATTTTTTTTCTTTTTTCTCTTCTCTAAAAATCTTAAATATATATACGCGTCTCACTTTAAGCATAGGGAGACTAATCTAAACTCAGTTATAAAAGGAATCGATTCAGTACATCCGAGAATAAATTTTCTATTTCATTCACTTTTTTCGATGCGCGCGCGCGCGCGTGAAAATTCTTGACTCACCATCACCTTACGCGTCGTACGTACAGGCGAATGCGCCGCCCGACACTTCCGGTCGATAAAACGCATTCTCTATAGAGCCCACACGGTTGCACACGAGCCGACATGTCCCGCTTTTCGGTGCACGATAATAATGTCAATATCAACGATAGACGTCCGGTGTCGTCTCGTTCATTCGTCGCTCCCTCCCCTCGCTAACCCATTCCCTCTCTTTCTCTCTAACGCCTGTCCAATGATTTCAGGTTAGGTGTGCGCACGTGCGAGCTATGCTTGCGCGCCTTTATTATTTGTCTTTACGCACTCGGAGACACGTGGGAGCACAGGTGTCTTGCAGACCGTGTTGGAAGCGGAAAAAAAACAAGGAAGAAGTGAGGAGGTGAAGAAGAAGAGAAAAAGGAACCGCATAACGAGCGAGCCATGTAATATTTCATCGCAAGATTTGTTTACTTGGCGCGAAATGCTGCCTTCAGTCGTCTGATCGGTCCGTCGTGAAAACTTTGTCATTGTTCCATCGTCACGTTAAATTTCCTACAACACGATGCAGCAAAAGTAGCAGGATGTGTATCGCAGAACGTAACGATACGACATATTGAGACAAAAATCCTTATATATCTATACTATAAGGCTTAGGAAATTTACACAGAGACGTGAACGCTCAAGCATTATCATTGTGATAATTCTCCAAGAGTTTTGAACGTCGATAAACCTTTTTTTTAAACTCTGACGAAAAGTATAGCGAGTTTCTCCACGAAAACGATTTTACAAGACAAAACTTATATGAGAAAAAATCGGTTATACTTTCTCTTGTAAAATATTAAAACAAGAAACAAAAGTTTTATCCGCCAAGATTTTAATATTACGATCCTAGCTTTAGCAACTTGGAAATTTGTACAAAAGTCGTAGACTTTCTTTGCAGTTTCAAATAAATGAGCATAACGTAAAAGTTTCAGATCCGTCGATCTCGAGAGCCAAACGTTATACGAAAGTTTACGCCTTGTGAAATATCAAGATAAAAATATCATTTTCCAAAATCAGTGATTTTGAAATTCTGAGATCCTTATACACTGCAATATTTTCACGAAATCAACTTTTTTTCCAATTTGACTAAAAGTATAAAATAACATAGATCTTTCGATGGCAAAAATGAAATATTACGCAGAAATTGACAATTCTATAAAATATCAAGAAGAGTATTATTACTTAAATTGAATATTTTTTTTCAAATTTTTAACCGATTCCTTATATCCTATGCTCTGAAACGAAATGGGTTTTCTTGAAACTAAATTTTCAGTTTTCTAAAAATTCTCTAAAGTACTAAAGATTTCGGATACCTGGATTTTAAAAATCGGACATTACGCGATAAGAGTAGAAAATGGAAATTTGTGAAATATTGAGAAAGAAGTAACATTTTTCACATTAAACTTGCGAAGGGCGCCAAAATTCTTTAATGAAGATTTCGCTTCAGAAAACAGTACACTGAATTGTTTGGAAAGTTTTCTAGTTTTTCTTCTATCTAGAACAATGAGATTAAAAACTAAAAGACTTTGCGAACAATCCAATATATTAATCGACAGGTACATAACTTGCTTGAAAATGATACTGCTTTCGATACATCGCAACATCTCGTGGCCTTGTAAAGATTAATAACCTCCGAGAATCCTGACATTTTTAAATATTATACTCCAAAATATGCCACGAAATAAATTCGTTTTCAACTTTTATGAAAACTACAAGTAGTCTTGAATTCTTCTACCTTGGAAATCGAAAAACAAAAACATTCCTAATTTTATGATAGTAACTAATGTTTTTCAACAAACATTTACATGTTGTTGTTTCATTTAAAAGTTCGGCAAATGAATGAAATGTCGAAATCCTTAGATTCCACGATTTTGACGAAGTCACAAAGTCATTCGTAAAATTCGAGGAAAGTCACGTCACAGCAAACAACGGTCGGATCTTTCGCTCTCAAGTAACAAGGGAAGAAAAAACATTGAACGACGTACCTGTTCCCGAAGCGTTCTTTCCAGAATTCGGCGGCGTCGGCCTTGGTGATGCGAAACTGATCGCCGGCGAACATCCCGTTCGGGAATATCGCCTTCAACTCGGACAGCATGTGACTGAACACGAGGCTGAGCTTGGTGAGATTCCGGCGGTAGTGCGACGTCTCGTCAAACATTTTCTCCTTGCCTTCCTTGAACAGCTTGATCGCTTGCTTGCATTTACGTATCAGGTTGTTGATGAAGACGCAAAAGTGCTCGTTGCTGTGCAGTACTTGCATCCGGTCCTCGTACTTGCTATAGATGAGCCGCAACCGCTGATACGTGTCCGGCAGAATATCGAGGATGAACGGAGGCGAGTTTTTCAGGTTCATGCGCTGATGCTGGCACAGTTTCACCACCTTGTCCATCAGCTTCCAGGTCTTGTCCAGCGTGCGCTTGTCGGTAGAGAGCTTAGGCGGCGTCATCGCGTCGGCGAAACGGCCGTGCAGCTTCTGGAAGATCGAACCGATGTTGGCCGCGCGAGTGCGACTGCTATGTCCGGACGACGACATCTTGACGGATGTAGTATCCGTGGCTCGTGCGTACACGCGCGTAATACACCGGATCTCTCTTCCTCGTTCCTGTACTTCTCCCCCCGCGAGCCCACACACACTCGCCACACTCGCGCGTTTTCTCTTTCTCTCTCCTTCTCTCTCTTCCTTTTATTCGCACCTCACACCCTTCTACCTGCCGCGCGCGCGGCACTCTCTTGCTATAATACTTAAGGTTAACCCGCACACACACTGAGAACGATAGATCGGCACACCGCGCATATCTCAGCGGGACGCGACGACGACGACGGTGGCAGCGGTGGCGGTGGTGGCGGCGGCGGCCGCGGCCACGACAACGTCCCCGCGAAGCCGCGGACACGGGATGCAGCACCGGAACCTCGCGCGATACCGCATCCTATTTATCTCACTAACGACGGACTGTGGTCGACGGGACCAGGCCGGATGCTCGCGCGGTGACTCGCGACGAATCACGGCGAATCGACACTATACTGACACGAGGACCGTACGAGCGAGGGAACCGTTCCTGAGCGTGTCGCGGCGATTTCTGCTCGCTTTCGCTGTCTCTTCGGTTTTGTGGATTCGCCGTTGTGGCGCTAAATATCTTTTTGCTCATTAATGTGCGCATGCGCATTCATTCCGGCGCGAAATTTCTTTTCCGTACGGTACAATATAACGTTTGCTCCTTATATAAGATCAAGTATGTACAAGACTGTTTTGTTCATTTTTTTCAACTATAATTAATTTTAATTAATCAAGAGATTCTTCAATTTTTTTCAACAGACAAAAAATGCCTAATGGCGCCCTTGAATTTTTTTCTACGGCCAGAGAACACCTGATTGCGTCCTCTAATTTCATAATTCTAGGGTCTTTAAGCGTGCGCTCATGCCATCTACACGCACTATCGGCAAGCTGGATGCATACGTATAAAAATAAATTACTAAAAATGCTGTGTTTTGTATGGTTGATTTTTAGTAATTTACTAGTTTGCTAGCGAATTGCATAAAACAAGTTGCATAGTCTGATGCATGCTTAAAGGTATATTCAGACAAATCTGCATAGGTGCATATGCATATGCGTAAAGAATGGATTGGTTCATGAAAAGATGCATAAGGAAATGGACCAATCCCATTCCTTATTCTTATGCTTATGTGCTATGCAATTTTGTCTGGATACACCCTAAGGCTGAAATTAAACGTGGAGCGTCAGCGTGAAAAGGCACCTTTCGAGTACATAAGAGGTCGGCTGACGTAGAGGTTGGTGCTTTGTGGATAGTACATTTTATACAATTTCGTGTAAATTTTCTCTCAGTTATTTGTGCTGCGAATTATTTACAGTAAGCATATTTGTCAAATTATTCTTAAATACTCTACACTTTTATATACTATTATTTTCTCAAACAAAGCATAAAATGCTAAGTATTACTGAATACGTGAAATTTGCGGCAATTGTATCGTGTCTGTTTCGATTTAGAGATGTTCCTTTTATTGATGTTTTAAAGAATAATAACTTTATACGATACTTGGTTGCATAAAAAAAGATTTCAATCATTAGTATTTTTCTTTTTACAATGTAAAATTTCATAAAAATTATCAACCGTCCGTATATTCGGACAGACTAGCTTACAATTTCACACATAACCTTAGTATCGAGGTGTTATATATTATAATCAAATTCTATTTTTTTATATTTTTCTTAGGCATAAGTGTTTAACACTTTGCAAAAATGGCAGACTCAGATGATGAATATGATAGAAAGAGGCGAGATAAATTCAGAGGTGAGAGGACAGAATCATATTCACGGGAACGAAGAGAAGATCGTAGACGAGATGATTGGGTTGATAGGTATATATGTAGATATGTATATAAATTTCTAGCCTTAAATTTAGGAAAATATAAATTTTGTTTTACAAAAATAAGAAAAATATGCCTATATAAACATATGTTTGATATGAATTTGTTTCAGAGTTATAGATTATTTTATGTTTCAACAATTCTTACAAATACTAGACAAATACTTGCCGAAATGCAAAATAGACTGCAAATTGGAAACAAGATTTTTTAAAATATATGATTATATCAATTTTATAATTTTTGTGTTTTTAACTCATTCTTGTAGCATTTTCCCATGTGTTACAAAACATTTTGCATATCTCTATGACAAAATTTTAGTTTATTGCCTGTTTTCTTAATGTGTAGCTATTCTGGCTATACTGATAGTAATTTTTATAGAGAGTGGTCCAGTCGTCCTAGGCAGCGGCCTGATTATCGGGAATATCGAGGTGGAGGAAGTGGAGGACGTGATCGTTACAGTCCTCCAAGATCCCAAGATATGGCACCTCCTATGAAGAGAATGCGATTTGACTGGGATGATAGACCGAGATATGGTGGACATGATTATTATGGTGGAAGTGGTAGTGGTGGTGGTGGTGGTGGCGGCGGTGGTGCTGGTGGCGGTGGCGGCGGCGGTGGCGGCGGCGGTGGCGGTGGAAGTTCTTGGAGTCCGGATCACTATCCGCCTCCTCACCATAGCAACCATCACTATGGCAACCATAGTAATAGCAGCAGGTTTGTTTTGTTATGTCTAAATCTTCCTTCTCTTTTAAAGTATTACTAGATTATGACTGGATGATATAAATAATAAATAATGAAGAGAGCAGGGTTTATGAAGATTCCGCCAAAACGGAGTCGCTTGACTCCAAGATTATTAGCTAAATTAAGGTAGTATTCCTATTAATCAGAAACAAGAACTTAATGAAACAGAAAAGTTGTTGTTTATTTTTGAAAATCTGTCCCTTTGTTTAAAACATTTATAAATGAAATATACTGTAATTTAGTAAAATATATGTATAAAATACTTTGTAAAAATTCATTGGCTACAATGATGAGTTTATGGTGTATTACATATATTAGATTACTTTTTAGTACTACTGAGATTATTTTCCAAGCACAAATGATATGCCTACATTATATTATTTTCAGTCGGGAGGTAGCTGGAAATTTCAGTAATTCAAATGTTGAAACCCAGCCACCTATGATGTCATTCAAAGCATTTCTTGGCACTCAAGAAGACACCATTACTGATGAGGAAGCTATTAAACGCTACAATGAGTACAAATTGGAATTCAAGAGACAGCAGCTCAATGAGTTTTTTGTCGCCCATAAGGATGAAGAATGGTATATATTTATTTTGATATTTTTCTTTTTTACGTATATCCGGGGTTGTATCTATACGGGAATGAACAATTTTATCGTGATACTTTTAATGAATAATAAAATAAATTTCTTTGATTTCTATTGGAATTAAAATATTTTGCTTCTTAAATTAATGAACAATGTCATTAAGCTCATAATTGTATAAAGAATGAACGTTTTGAAATAACACGGTTACTATGTAAAATCATCATTAATCACACAAAACTCTGTCCAGGCATGTATGTATATAGATTACATACCTGGAGGAAACGGAGACTGATGTATAATTTGATAAATTGCAGATACAATATTGTAGCTAATTTAAAACAATATGACCATCTCTGTCTATCCCTACAGCATATCGCCGCCATCGCCTTATACCTTGGGTCATCTCGCTCGTTTATTTTCTCGTACGATATTTTATGAATTTCGCGTTTCGCGCATCGCTGAAGACACGAGGTGCCTATTAGGTAGCTAAATAAATTGCGAGCTGGGCGCGCAAAGCCCAAATATGCTCGTGTAGGTCGCGTTCTAAACCCGTTATTTATTTTTACATTTGAGTACTATATTGTCTTTGTCAATAAGACAAAGACTCTGAGTCGACGAGAAAACCGAATGCGGGTAAAAATATGACTGCAGGTGAGGTTTCATTCTGTAACAGACAATGTTGATAGTACCGATCGAACTTTAAATTGTGAATAACGACTCGTGGCTAATTAAAACTCATGTCTTTATATTTGGCATTTGTCGTAATTTATAATTGATAAAGGGAACTATCGCAAATTAAAACTTTGTACTAATATTTTACTTTTTTACTTGGCTACTTTTTTCTACGCGTTTCTCCCGAAATCATCCTCCTGGCATTGTGCAAAAGTTACACTATATAGGTAGAACTCAGGAGAGTTATGATTCATGTAAAATATATAAAAAAATTTTACTTTATGGATATATGCACATATGCATGCGCAATATGAGACGAAACATTAGGTGACCTTTTTTTTTACTTTGTAGTGCATTTAAAAACTGTCTTGGAAAAAAAATCTTTTATATAACTCATATCTTCATATGCGTATGTGTCACGTATGCCGTGAAAGGGCGCTGTATTTATCTACGCTTTCGCGTTGCCTTCTTTAAATTACAGAACTAGCTGCTCCAATGAATTATACGTACGTGCGATTCTATTCCAGACCTGTATAATATTACGCGGATTATTTTATAAGCATTTATTTATTGCTCTTTTTCTATTGATCGCCAGGTTCAAAATAAAATATCATCCTGAGGAATCAATAAAGAGAAAAGACGAGCAAGTATCGGCACTTAAGGTAAGTAAACGCAATGCTACAATGTATAATACAGTATCTACAGTCGTAATTTTATTACTTGTTTGACTGACAGAGAGAAATCACTTTTCTTTCAGAAACGCGTACAAGTTTTTCTGGACTTGCTCGAAACGGGAGAAATAGACAAAGTGTCCGTTGATGCCGATCAAGCAGATATCTTGTTACGTCTTTTAGATGCAGTGGTTATCAAATTGGAAGGAGGAACGGAAGAAGATTTGCAAATTTTGAATGTTAAGCCACCTAAGCTGTTTATAACAAAAGATATCTCAAAGGAGAAAGAAGATAACAAGACTAAATCTTGTATGGAAAAGAAACCTGAAAGCAGGTATAGTGTTAGATGCATATATGACATGAAAAACACGACATCAATTTTAGCTTATTATTGTGCTCATTATGTTTTTGTCTACTTGATTCAAGTGACGAAAACAAGATGGACAATTCACAGCGTGAAGAGAAAGGTTCGAAAAATGATCAGAATGCTGATGCAGAAGTGAAAAGCGCAGAAAAAGATGGAAATGCAGTATCTGATTCGGACAAAACGAAAGAAAGCGACGAATGTAAAGACACAGAAGAAACTGCTAATGAAGACAAGTCACGTATGTATATTTAAACATTTCGCATTTGCGAAGATTTTTCCGTTTGCGTACCTCACAATCTACATTATTGCAGCAGACAAATCAAGGAAACGTAAACGTACTAACAGCAACAGCAGCAGCAGCAGTAGCAGCAGCAGCAGCAGTTCTTCCGGTAGTGACAGCAATAAACCGGAAGCAGAGACTTGTGAGTACAACAATCTCGAACTTGCTTCACATTACATTCGCATTTTATTTTACTTTGTATTTTGAATGACAATTATCATCAGCTGCTAATGAGAAAGTGGAGGCCAATAATGAACAAGTCGACGAAGGAGAGGCTAAAGAAGAAAATCAAGAAAGTAAAACTGAAGCGGAAACTACAAATAATAAGAAATCCACGATCGAACCAGAAGCGGTGATCGATTTGGCTAGTGAAGATAAAGAAAAGGAACCCAGAGCTCTGCACAAAACGAGCAGCATCTTCCTTCGCAATTTGGCGCCGACTATCACTAAAGCGGAGGTGGAAGCGGTTAGTTGCAATATTATTTATTAATTTACTAAAGAAATAAAAATTTTCAATGCTTGTGTCGAACAATCTACATTTTTCTTCACTTTTAACAATGTTCCTACAAGTATTCACACAACATTACAACATTAACAATTGTATTTATTGGATAGATGTGCAAGCGATTCCCAGGATTCTTACGCGTAGCTATAGCAGATCCGCAACCAGAGAGACGATGGTTCCGTCGCGGTTGGGTTTCGTTTGAAAGACAAGTGAATATTAAAGAAATTTGCTGGAGTTTGAATAACATCCGAGTAAGTTTACTTTTGCACTAAAAGTTTGCTTTTATTTTTAATTATAAAGTGACAAATCCCTAAAATAAATACTCTTTAATCCCTGTACAGTTACGTGATTGTGAGCTTGGTGCAATAGTAAACAGAGATCTATCACGACGTATTCGGTCGGTGAATGGTTTAACATCTCACAAACAAATTGTCAGGCATGATATTAAACTCAGTGCCAAAATTGTCCACAATTTGGATAATAGAGTAGGATTATGGAAGGAAGAGAAGAAGAGTGACAGTGCATTGAAGCAGGAAGAAAACAAAGAAAACAAGACTGTTCAAAGTAACGACGAAGTTGAGCAAGCGGTAAGTGAAATTCGCGTATTGTATTTTAATGAAAGTAAGTCTAAACGCAGATTTAGTCTAAAACTCGACATTCCAGGCTTTTGGATTGTCATCAAAAAATCCAGTATTGAAGAATATAACTGATTACCTGATAGAAGAAGCTTCGGCCGAAGAGGAAGAATTGCTAGGTATGTCAGGTGATCAAGAGGAAGGTCAGTTGAGCGGCGACGGAGACAGCTCAATCGAAAGAGATCCAATTCTAATCAAGGTAAATGTCAAACAAGCTGCCAAATCGATTGAGACTATAGCTTAATAAATTTGATAAATTTTTCGATAAATGACGTTGTCGCATGTTTGTTCCCGTAGGTATTAGACAGACTAGTAATGTACTTACGTGTTGTTCATTCCGTGGATTACTACAATCATTGCGAGTATCCGAACGAGGACGAAATGCCAAATAGATGTGGAATAATGCATGTGAGGGGATCACCGCCTACCGCCAAAATTTCCAGCGGTGAATTATCAGAATACTGTCGTAATTTCGAGAACAAGATGGTTGCTTTCTTACAACCGATCGCCACTCTGTCTACCGAAGAGTTCGATAAGCTAGGCGCAAAGAATGCCGAAGCGTATCCTTTTTTTGCATATATTTTACAGTTGTGTGTAATATGTAAGTGAAGCTAAAAGTGGTAACAAGTAGACAATTTGTAGCAAGATACGCGGCAAATATATCAATCACGAAATTGATCACCAGCAATATTTTCCTATTATACAACAAACAGTGAGGTTGAAAAATTCGTTCAAGCCAACACCCAAGAATTGTCAAAGGACAAGTGGCTGTGCCCTCTCAGCGGGAAGAAGTTCAAAGGACCAGATTTTATCCGGAAGCATATTTTCAACAAGCATTCCGAAAAGGTTGCTGAAGTGAAAGCGGAAGCTGAGTATTTCAACAATTATTTGAAAGACCCGAAAAGGCCTCAGCTTCCCGAACATCCTGGTAACAAGGCTCCATTGAGAGACGGGCCACGCGAGAACTTTGCTCCATATGGTTGCAGCTCGTAAGTAGAAAACTTGTAACAAGTTAAAAATTTTTTATAAACCTGTAATCACAAATATCATAATTGTATAATGAATTAATGCATTTCGTAAATTTGATGAAAAATCACGTCAGAGGCATGTCGTTAAAGTACTCAGTACTGATATCTGTGCATTTCCAGATTCGGAAGTTACGGCGGTGGATACGGTGGTAATAGAGGTGGTTACGGTGGTTCTGGCTACGGCGGCGGATTTGGTGGTGGATTTAGTGGACCGCGTTCCAATCGTGGCGGTTTTAATCGAGGACGGTAAGACAATCCTCTTTTTAAGTCCTAATGTATAGAATTAGTAATAAAAAATTTGTTTTCGCACGTTTGTTAAATCGTATTGAAATCAAGACGAGGCGTGTAAGATGCATTCCTACCACAAGTACATTCTTGGCCCATTCGAAATAACAGACTGAACGTGGTGATACAATGTTTTACAGGGCCGCTCCGGATACTATGGCAAGAGCTATTATTAGTTATAATGACTTGGACCAGCCAGACATGGACATGTTCTAAGTTTTGACTAAATCTATGCGAATTCCCGCGGGTCTAATAAGCACACAATAAAAACACTGCTATTCCAGATTCTATCAGATTTATGTCCAGGGCATGTTCTAGCATATTATCTAGCATATTAGGATAAAGTTCTTATTTTGCACTAGATTTTACAATATTTCCTATAATTTACTAATTATCACTAAAGTTTTAATTTGAAACATGTCAAATTAAAGTTAGAAATTTAAACTTTAATGTAAAAAAATTATTAATTTGCAACTGCGACAAAATGTTTTCCTTCTTGTTTTAATGAAACTTTGCTTTTGATGCAAAATAGGTAATTTATTTACGTATATTTTGCAATAATTATAATTTATACCATCACATATATGATCCACAAAAACATTATAAATTTTCTTGCAACAACGAAAAATACATATTGAACGTTAGTATTTGGAACGTAAGAGTTTGGTACAAAGTAGTACAAAACTGAAACATTTTGCATCAAAGTTTTAAATTGTATTGTACACAGGTTGTATACACAGGTTTATATAAACTTATATAAAACTTAAATAAATTGAAATACATGAAAACTAAATACATGATAAGAAATAAATATAACAATTTAGAATTGAAATCATTATGAATAAAATTACATTATTTAAAATAAATAATGGTGCAAATTAAAAACCTTATCTTAATCGATAAATTTGGTTACAAAATCAGTATGATCTCTTTTACTTACATCATGTACAAATATACGATTCAAATTCATTTAGTAGACATTGAGATTTGATATTACACACAGAGAAACAAAGAAAAAAAGATAAATTACTCAAATATATATATATATATATATATATATATATATATATTACTTAACAGATAGATCATTTTTTATAAGATGCTTACCTGAAAGTTGAGAATTCGCTGATGCTGTAAATTTATGACATGAATAACAAATAAATCCATTTGTCTGTTACTCTAACAATTTGTTATTTTATTTTATCCCATTTCCGTTTAAATCGTATGTCCGGTTGGTCGTATGTCATAGCATTATATTAAATATTATTGCATTGCATTAGTTCAACCAGCAAATTGTGTAAAAATATTAATATTAATATTTGTGTTTCTAAAATATATTTGAATGTTCTTTTAATGTTCTAATAAATATTTGATATTGCAGTGGCGGTAGTAGTGATTTCCGACCAGTCATACATTATCGAGATCTTGATGCACCGCGAGAACCAGACGAATTCCTATAAGATGATCATGTTGAAAGAAGTATTAATCAATACGAAGATACATGGGCACCGTTTACAACCACTTGGAACTTCAACATTTCCTCTGTAAATCACATTATTTACAATTATATTACATGCATATATTACAATACTCAATAATTTTGAGTAAAATAAGATTGTCTTTACGCTCCTTATTGTATCTAATTGATTATTTGATCTAATTTGATTGTTTGATCAGCTGAATCTTTATATTTCCAAATTTCAAGATTTGTCTTATTAAAACGCAGATTGATCATGTGAATAGCAAATATTTTCTAAAAGAAATTATCTACGAAATGATGGGAATATCTTAATTATTAACTATATGGAATATAGAATTATTTATATATATATATATTCTATATTATATATATATTCTATATTATATATATATATATATATATATATATATTATTTTTTTTTCTTATTATTTTATT